TGTTATTGAGCACAGGTGGTTCGACATACAATGCACATGGATTTCTTTCGCGTTTGGGTCGTGACGGAGATAGATGGGCCTGTCGGTGGCAAGGGCGGTGAACGCTTGATAGTAAACATCGTTGAATATTTTCTGGTAGGTTAATGTGTACGCTATTTACTGGAAAGCTCAGTAGCAAAATTTTGATTAATTCTACCCTTTAAGCCAGTACTAATCACTGGACAACAAATTTTAGTTTTTTAATTGTATCTTGTGGGAAAAGTGCACTTCTTTGTTAATTTTGGGGCGCTGAATCCAAATAAAAAAATTAGTTGCGGTTTAGAAAAAAAAAATATTTTTAAGGATATATTAAAAAAAGTAACAAGATTCATATACTTATAAGAATCACTATATGCGCTGTCTTTTTGCTGTTCTTTTATGGATCGTTTCTGGAGCATCTCTACTAAGAGTCCAACAGTAGTCTGCAAGCATGGAAGGATTCCACTTTCCCTGGTACCTTTTTTCCATTGTTGAAATATCCTGATGAAAACGTTCGCCGTGCTCATCACTTACGGCTCCGCAATTGTCAGGAAAAAAGTCCAGGTGTGAGTGTAGGAAATGTATCTTAAGAGACATATTACAGCCCATCTTTTGATACGATGACAGCATATTTTTGACAAGGGTTTTATAGTTGTCAGCTTTTCTATTTCCCAAGAAATTAGTGACCACCAGACGGAAATCATTCCAAGCAGTTTTTTCAATACCTGTTAAAGTGTTTTCAAACTGTGTATCTTTCAAAAAATTTCGAATCTGTGGCCCAACAAAAATACCTGCTTTAACCTTTGCCTCACTTAGTCTTGGAAATTTCTGACGCAGGTATTGAAAAGCTGACCCATCTCTATCTAATGCCTTGACAAAGTTTTTCATTAGGCCCAACTTGATATGCAGTGGTGGTAATAAATTTTTTTTCGAATCTACTAATGGCATATGCTGTACATTTTTTTGACCTGGCTCTAGGAATTGACGAATAGGCCAGTTTTGTCTGGTGTAATGAAGTGCCTTTGCCCGACTGTCCCATTCACACAAAAAACAGCAAAACTTTGTGTAGCCTAGCTGCAGCCCAAGTAAAAGTGCAACAACTTTCAAATCGCCACAAATATGCCATTGGTGCTCATCGTATTTTATGCATGTCAATAGGTACTTCATATTGTCATATGATTCTTTCATGTGAACTGCATACCCTACAGGAAGAGATGATAAAATATTTCCAATATGCAATAACACTGCCTTTAAACTCAATGTTGAACTGTCTATAAACTATCTCCATTCTTCTGGGTTATAGTTTATATTTAAAGTCGCCAGTAAGCCGTTAATGTTACTGCAGAAAACCAAGTTATTCTCCATATTGAAAAATGGTTCTAAGTCTTTGTGGCGTTTACGAAAAACACATACCGAAACACATCGTCTTCTAACAAGTTCCACTGCTGCAGTCTTGATCCAAGTAACTCTGCCTTACATTTTGGAAGTTCTAAATCTCTTACAAGATCATTTAATTCTGACTGTGTTATTTTGTGCGGTTGGTGGCATGACGTGCTCGGTATAAAATTTTGACGTTGATGGCATATCTTCTTCCTGACGAATCACTCGATCGCCATGATCTGATTCGTTTTCTGATTCGCAAGTGTAGAATTCTGGGGGTTTTGGAATAGGATTTTTGTCACTGTGAGGCACAGGTCTCATCGCAGATGGTATGTTTGGGTAGTTAATAACCGATTTTTTTTTCTTGGACATACCTGTGGCTTGTCCAACACAAGGTACCATGCAAAAGTAACAATCATTAATATGATTTGTAGGCTCTCTCCAAACCATTGGGACAGCAAAGCGCATAGACCGTTTTTCGCCATTTAACCAGCTCCTCAGACTTGAAGCACATGTATTACAGCAGATGTGGGGTGCCCACTGTTTGTCTTGATCACCTAGTTTACAACCGAAATAAAGCTGATATGCCTTTGTTATTAGTGGAGTAATAGACCGTCCCTGAGACGCAAAAGTCACATCACCACACACGTAACAAAACTGATCTGGATTGTTTACACACTTTCGAGACATCTTGCATGAACGCTGTCAGCCAACTGAGGCAAAAATGGCTAATATAAAACAGTATAATGTACACGTATGTATAACGTAACACAATCATGCCGATTACATCATCTTTCCTTGCCGAATATAAAAATGTAGCACGTGCATTCTTGTGTAGTATATTAACACTGTCACAGCAGGAACACATATAATTACCGTATCTCTAAAACTTGAACTAATATTGAAAAAATAAGTTTCATTCCGGTTTTAGCACATTAAAAATAGTAATATTTTGTTGATTTTATTTAGGATATTTTTTGGCTGTTGATCAGTGAAACTAACCATGATGTTACAGAATATTGTCAAGAAAAAAGATCAGATTCAGTACGTTAAAATATTGCTGTCAATGTTCTTGTAACACCGTGCGTGCTAATTAAAATATCTTGATTCTCCATTCATCTCGCAAATACATGGAAAAATGTCTAATCAATTAAACGATACCGCGTATAGTGATCATTCGTGCGGTATGGGTTGCAGCCAGTGTCCTGCATTGCTGGGCTACGTTCGTAAATTGTTACAGAGTATACTTTGTACTAAGCTATAACAATTTAGCGTTCGTAATTGTTTGACGTACCTGTTACATGCGTTCGGAAATAGAACGAAAGTACTTCTGGAACATCAAAAGTGTGCTTTTCTTCCAGAGCTCAAAACCTTAGGAATAAGAGTTCTGTCACTTGTTATTCTCATGGTTCGTTGATTGTTTATTTTATTCGGTTATCAAAAACTGCTCAAAATTGGCAGAATATATGTTTTTCATGATAAATGCTACCTCGTATCCCTAGGGTCTCTTATAATAACTACAATGGTCGTGGTTAGAAATTAGTCGGCTGTCATCAAATGTCATTACATGACTCTGTAATAATTTAGGCGTTCTAAAAATAAAGTTTCACAGTATTGCAGAGTAAAATTTCATCTGTCAATCTACATTCCATTACTGTGTACGGTATTACATTACCAAGTGAATTACAAACGCACCCCTATTTAACATTTTTCCCCAACATTTCTTAGGTCTAAAAGGTATACCTCGACGGTACTCTGATTAATTCTGATGAATTGTGACAAGTGAAACGTTATACCTACGTTGTCTTTTGAGGAGCAATGATAAATCAATAAATTAACTGTTATTATAGAAACCAAGATACAAATTGATTCCATGACGTATACTTTCATAAACGACCTTTTAGATTGAGCCTGGATTTTACGCTGAGACTAAAGTGTGCAATAAAATCATCCGAAGCTGCTCATGATATCACCATGAAAAATGTCCAGAATTACCAGGCGGCCCATCCATTTTCTGGATATTGCCGTCATCTTTAAAGTCATCTCGTATACTCGTATCACGATCCCCATCCTTTGTACAGAAATTTAATGTCGCTCATTTACCAGGAAACTTGGTTCTCTCACATTTAAAACGTCCATGTTCGTGTATGTGTGATTGTGATAAAGTATCATCACCTAAAACCAAGGAGACACTGTATAACTCTAAAGCAACTCTGCCATATTATCGGAAATATTTTAATTTAGTCTCATTCCATTATTTAATCAAAGGTTTTATTGATTTTTTACAAGCTTTTGTTTAACTTGAACTGTTTGTATTTTAGTATGTAGTATGTGTGTGAGACAAATCATGGTAACTTAATTTTGAACCAAGTCAACCAATTGAGCTGAAATTTTTGTACACACGTTTGGTGCGCATAATAATACAAAATGAACTAACTGCCGCCATTTGAAATCCAATATGGCGGATCGCACAAAACGGCAATTCTTCATTACCATAGTAACCCGTACATATAGGTATCAAATGAAAGGGCTTGATGTGAGAAACGCAACAAGCAAAGTGACGTCATTCTAAATAAAATGTGGCGACCACCCCACGATGGCGATTTATAATTCACGGTGTCATACGACACTATCGGTATCAAATAAAAGGGCTAGTCAGAGTTACCCAATCTTTTTTGTGTCGTAGACCCCTTGCCATGTTTTTCCGTGTTGGGTAGACCCCCTACTTACCTGATATTGATTTCCTGTAAGTTTCTAACTGTAGTGAAGTTAAGTGTTAAAAACTTAAAGTAAAAACACATGTTAATTTATACATTTATTAATTGAATTTAAATTAAAACTACTCAAAATAAAATTTTGTATCTGTTATGTAAAATATACGTAACATTAAATAAACAGGTGTCTGACCAATAAGTGCCCGCATTGGGAATAAGTGCCCGCATTGAAAAAAAATAAGAGGGTAAAATAAAAAAAAAGTGAAAAATAATAGAATAAAAGTTTTTTACTTAAAATAGTACAATAAGCGAGTTCGTTTATTAATTATAACATAAACGTATGTTCTACAATAATTTCACTGTTAGTTTGATTAAATTCCGCTTCTTATACGTTTAAGTTATCTAAAAATAGGCAAAAAATTAACGAATTTTAGTGTGTACCTATCCTTGAATTTTCAGAATAATTTTAAAAAAGGGGGGTTCTTTAAAAAATCAATGTGGGCACTTATTCCCAATGCGGGCATTTATTGGTCAGACACCAATAAACATAAAATAAACTATAAATAAAATAACATAACTGATATTATATTTGATAAAGGAATTGCTTTTTCAATGTAGTAATTCTTCAAAACATGAAATATTGATTCACCTTTAGTGTCGTTTATCAAAGTTCTTGCGAAGAGCAGTTCTTCGTAGATTTCTTGATTCATAATAAAACGAACATATGCCAATAATAATGCTGCATTATCAGGTTAAGTTGACTCGTCCAGTTGTATAGAGAAATGGGTCGTTTGCAAATAATTACATAAGAAGCTTTCAATATCAGAACTCATTTCATCAATACGTCTTTCAACAGTATTGTTGCTTAAGGGAATTCTTTTGATGATATCAGGTATCAGATGCAGGTTTGTGTAAAACAGTTTTTAAAACCTCTTCAACGGCTGGCAAAATTAACTTCTCTCCGATAGTATGCGGTTTTCCGGATTTTGCTATAAGTAACGAGATATTGTAAGACGCCCGCAAACCATCATCGTTTCTTTGTGACATCGAAGCGAACATTCTGTCCAGTGTAGGTCTCTTCTGAAATTTATCTTTGAGTGTTTGAAAGTATTTCAAATCTTTCTCTGTTTTATCAGGGTGGCATCTTCTCAGATGATCTTGCAGTTTAGATGGTTTCATAGCGTCATTGCCCAAAACTTTGTTGCATAAAAGGCACATAGGCGATTGTTTGTCCGGCAATGATGGAAAGAAGCCAAATTTCAAATAATCAACACTGTAGTGTCTACATTTCTTTTTAGATTCGGACATGGCATCAGTCATCTGTGGGCAAAATTAAATTATTTAAATAAGACAGAAAATCCAGCAGCTGTATATTAAAAATATTTTTTGATTTTTCCGAAAACATTCCATAATTCGAACATCTTCTTGCAACAATTAGCTCGAATTACGGAGATTGCACTGTAATTATATTACCGATTGCTAAAACTTTCAAAAAGAAACTATTGAGGAGTACTCGTGTAATTTTGCATGATTGAATATTTAACTACTAATAACTAAAGTCATGATTGGCGTAATGTATCTATCTTTGCTAACTACGAGTACAAAACTAAAATTTAATAAAAAATAATGTAGTTACTTTTCTCCAGCACTCTCAAACAAAATAATACTGACTCACTATAATTTGTGTGATATACTATCTGTTTATATTTTATAAAATATTTTCTTAGCACTTTCCTTTTCAAGATTCAGGAAACGAATAAACGTATTTGTCCCACATTCGTATTTATAGAGTGACGAATTGAACAAGTCAGTGAAAGGTAGCGAAGCTCTGAGACTGCGACTCTCAGATTTTTACAAGTTCAAAATGTATTGCGACCACAAAGCGAATACCAACATCCTACAACTTACACAATTTTATAAACATATATAATAAATTTTTTACTTCATAGGTACTTTTATAAATAATGTATATGTTTTGATATTATAAGATAGAATGATGTAAGTAAATAGGTACTATCAGTGTATGTGTTGAGATCCACTATCGTGGGCCCCCATATTCATTTCATGGACCCCCAATTTTTTTTTCGCTGACGTAGACCCCTTGCAGGTTGTCATAGACCCCTAGGAGTCGATATAGACCACTTTGGGAATCAATGGGCTAGACGGATGAAGCATAATAAACAAAGTGACTCCATTCTAAATCCAGTATTGTTGTCGCTGCTAAATGGGGATTTATAATTTTCAAGACCGATATGATTGGATATCAAATCAAAGGGCTTAATGAATGAAACCTAGCGAGTAAAAAACGTCATTTTAAATTGCATATGGAGAACGACGCAAAATACAAATATAAATTCATCATTGTATGATTTAAATCCCACCAATAAAATCATATAGAAATTACACAAAAAAATTCATTTTTAAAAACATGCTTTTACTTAGCTGTTAATAAAGTTAAATATTTTTTTTCTGATTGGAAATATTAAAACGATAATGAATGATGATGTTTTCTAATAAAAGTGTTTTGACAGCAGGATAGAAAAAAGTCATAAAACGCTTTTATTTGAAATTATGGTTTTTTTTTTATTTTTTGTTCACTTCAGTAACAGCTAAATAAAAGCTTGGTGAAAGATAACAGTTATACTATTATATGCAACTGAAGCTAGCAGTATTTTCGACTGTAGGGAACTTCCTAATTAAACCGTCTCAGTATCATCACAATCACAAGGCTGACTGCCTATAGTGAAGCGACGTGACGCGGTTTGGAGCTCTTAAACTAATTAAGGAACTTTGCGAACTCCACTTCAGCAGCTTCGCTAGTAGTCAGCCAGCACCAATTAAATTCTGGAATAAAATTAAAAAAAAGGAAATTGACGGCGGACCAACACTGCCAGAGAACTTTTCAGATTAGCCTTCAAGCCTAAAAAAGAGAAGATAATTTAATAGGATGATGTAATATCTGGCAGCTCACATACAACTAATGCAATATACAGAGGAATGTATCATTCCATCTAATCAGCCTGCTTTTAGAAAATCTTTTAGTACTATCGGTTCTTAACTTTTTTTTGATATATTGACAAAAAAATGGGCGTAACAATGATGCAAATCGATTACTCCAAGGCATTTGACAAAATAAATCACGAGTTGTTAATAGCGAAGTTGAACTATCATGGCATAGATCGAATTAGATATTTTTTTTTCGTAATTATATATCAAATTGATCGCAGTGTGTATCAATTGATAACAACAAGTTTCCTAAAAACTCACTTGGAGTACCTCAGCGGAAGCCATCATTATTTGGTACTTGGTAAAATTAGAATCAATGAAAGATGGAAAGAGAAGATTAAACAAACGAATTCAGAGGAAATAATAAAAATAGAAAATTTAAGAGATGACCCCATAAAATCATTACATCAAAAAAGGCTAGAACAGAGGATAAAAATAGAAAATATCGAAACTGAAAGCAATGTAGAAACTAGCTGGAGAAAACTTAAGAAAAATATTCTGGACGCTGCCCGAGAAGCCATTGGAACGAAAATAATAAACAAAAACAAAAAGTGGTCAACGAAAACACCATGGTTTAGACTAGAGGTTAAACAAAAATGTCACCAAAAGAGAAAGCTTTCCAAAAATATAAGTCAGATAAAACCAATGAATCATATGAAGAATATAAAAGAATAAGAACTGAAACTCATCAATTGCTAAGAAAAACAAAAACAGATTACTGGGAAAGATTCACAAAAGGACTAGAGATAGATTTCTACGGACAACAGAAGCGAAGTATGGCGCTTCATAAGACAACAAAGAAGCGAAATGAAAGAACTAGTTGAAATAGAACACATAAAAGATGGGTGGCCTGCTTGACAGAAACGTTTAAAAAAGAAAACGAATAATCTTTACCAGAAACGCCAAATATAATAACTGATGAAGAGACCGAAATCTCCCAAGAAGATGTGAAACAAGGAATAAATAAATTAAAAAATAGTCACCAGGAGAATATGAAATACCAAATGAACTCTTAAAATATGGAGGTGATTACCTTGTTCAACAACTGCAACTCCTCATTCAAAAAATAAACACCACGAACAGAATACCAGATGAATGGAGGAGAGCGATCATGCTGATGTTCTTCAAGAAAGGAGATAAGGAAGACCGCAATAATTATCGAGCAATAAATCTGTTAAATACAACACTCAAATAGGCAACAAGAATAATAGCGACAAAAATAAACGAACGAATAACTCTGCAAGAGGAACAGCAAAGATTTCAGACAGGATGATCATGCACGGATGCAGTTTTTGTAATAAGACAAATAAAAGCAAAGCCGCTGGAATACAACAAACCAGCATATACGTGCCTCATAGATTTGAAGAAAGCGTTTGCTAGAGTGAGAATTCGGGACGCGATACATTTATTATATGACAGGGGAATACCACTGGATTTAGTAAAAACTATCGAGAATATATATTAAGATAACATAGCTATGGTAAGATGTAAAGAAAAACTCTCGCAACCTATCAAGTATGAAACTGGCATTAGACAAGGAGATTCGCTGAGCCCACTAATATTTAATCTGATAATGGATGAAATCATAAAGAAAGTTAAAACAGAAGAGGATATAGAATGGGAGAAAAGGAAATACAGATAATATGCTACGCCGACGACGCCATAATAACAGCCGAAAATGAAGATGACCTACAAAGATTAATTAAAGAATTCGAAGATAGGGCGCTCATACAACATGGTGATTTCAACAGAGAAAACTAAATCGATAGTGGTATCAGCGGAACCGAGGCGATGTTAACTGGTCGTAAATAACAAAATTATAGGACAAGTGATGGAAACGGAATACTTTGGAATCAAACTGTCAAGCTATGGAAAAGTGGAAGAAGAAGTATAAAAACAAGTGAACATGGCGAACAGATCAGCAAGATGTCTCAACAATACAACCTGAAGAAACAAATACCTCACAACGGAAACGAAAACTAGAATATATAAATCAACATTAAGACCGATAATGACGTACACAGCGGAAACAAGAGCAGATACGGCGAAAACAGAGATTATTGGAAACAGCAGAAATGAAAGTCTTACGAAAAATAAAAAACCAAACTCTAAGAGACAGAGTAAGAAGTGAGGAAAACATGATCAGACAACATCAATTGAGGCTAAAAACCGAAGTAAAACAGCCTATTAATAAAGTAGGAAGAAGAAGAAGAAACTCACCTGGAGTACCTCAGGGGTCTGTTTTGGGTACCTTGTAGTTTGTGATATTGCGGATCTGATTGTGATATTCAAACTGTTTATGAATTTTCAAATAACCATAACCTGTCAATGAATCCTAGTAAATCCGGCCTTTAATTGTTCAAATCGTAAAAGAGACGAAATTAAAAGTAAACTAGTTACGATCAGCTCAAAACGCTTGGCGTAATATTCGATTTCAAACTTTATACGATATTTTATATTGAACGTGTCTTGACATTACTAAAAATAGGATTCAAATTGTGCAAAATAATTGTGCTAGGTTCATCTGCGGGTTAAGACGCTTTGACTATGTTTCTGGTAGCCTTCAAAAATGTTGTCAAATATCATTATATTGCATTCATTCATAAACTTATGTCCGAGCCTATGTACTTAAGAGAGAAGCTGATTTTAGGTATAATATACATGATAGACATTGGGTTTCCAAATATGATAACTACACCTTTTTACTCTACAGCTATATTTTAGCGTTCTTTCACGTACACTGCTGCAGTTTTATACAATGCTTTGGCATTACATAAAACTGCAGATTTCTTGCTTCAAGAAAGCTGTTGAATCTCAAGTCGGCATGGATCCATAGTTTAAATATGTTGCTCTTCTCTTTGTCGTTAATTTTTTCTTTTTTTTTTTATTTGTGCACATAAAGTAGACTTTTGTGTAACATATATATTTTTTTGTTTTTGATATCTGCTACCTAACAACTTTTGTTTATTATGCATCGGTGGTAAGAGTAGCGTATTGGTTAACTTCGCCACCATTTGCAACTCTTTTTTTTCTTCATTGAATTTAGAGTTCCAATAAGGACGATTATTATTATTATATAAGATATTGGTAAAAAATGATTTGTTAATTTCTTAATGCATAATTTTGTGTGGATTCACCATAGTTGAACACGATCTTGCATCACCGATATCAGG